GTTATTCTGGACACTTATCAGCTGTTGATCAGCTCGTTGATCGAAAATTCTTTTGACCCTTTAATTTTTTGTATTAGTGTATATTGACATAAAACTAAATCTACTTTCTGTTCTTTGTAATGTGAAATGTAGCCATGTCTTAAGGAATACTGTAGCATGTTTCTTAATCTTTAATATTGCTCTACGGGCACTTATATACTGTTTTTATTTCTAATGATTTCGCTCAGTGTTTCCAATATCAATTTTTGCTAGTACCAGAAATATGTTGCAAGAGCTGCGGAACAAAGCATCGGGAAATGTGTTAAAAAGAAAATCGAGCGCGCCCGATTTACCCGTACAGTAAATTGAAGGAGGTGCATCTGTGCAATCATAGACAAGTGCTTCGTATTGTTTGTTACCGATGGTTATATACCCGCGTTGAAAGCGTCGCAAGGGATTTATATCGGTGTTGGTTTCGCAGTTGTATGGGAGCGAATGAAAGCGTTCTGTTAGCAGATTACGTTTAAAAGGACGAGTCGGTATCTGTTAATTGATACTAAAAACTTCGGCTTGAGTTGACTGCCATGGCATACCGTACCCTTCTTTATGTCTTAAAGATGAAAAGTATTTGTAAAAGTTTTCGGTTAATTTTTTTATTAGATGAAATAATTATGTAGCTTCAAAAGTAATTTATTTGATAACAGAAGGGCTGTCAGAGAGAGCCACAATTAAATGGCGTACCAAACGGGTCAGTCGAAACATGCGCGAGCCCCTGCCTCAGATTGCTTTTCACGTTTAACTCACGTTAGTATACTGTTGCCTTTGTTATCGTGCGGATGTGGCGTAATTAATTCCTATCCGCTGGTGTTTATGGCGGTATATTGTAGACAATTTATTTGTTGCTTTTTAATAAATAATGCGTACGCCTATGTCCCGCGACTCAGTTCTGACAGCCGTAATGATCATTGTTGTCGGTGATGCTAATAGACATAGAGCATCAGGCAAATGGATAGGATGGGGGCACGATGCTCCAATTCACTTGGCCACCACGTTCACCTGACCTAAATCACTGTGATGATATTTTTATTTCGGGGTTAAAAAACGGAAAGGATACCCTGTGAGTAATGAGAGTGAGGGACAATTGTGTAAAATGACTGACGCTGCCTCCAGTAGTACATACATGCTCTAAGAATAAAACAAATAACTGACCCAAAATACGAACAGGGAAAAATTTTGAACAAACCCTTGATCTGCGCCATCTTTATCTATTGATGTTATAGTAAATACTTAATTTTATGATCCTGGTGCGATAATTTGATATATCTATATTGGAAATTTTTAAATGTAGTGAGAACCCATCAACCTCAACACCAAAGATAATAATTCGGTATTTAAAAATAAAAAATTAAAAATTTCTTATCCGAGGTCGATTAAACAACAAAATTAATCAAGTAGTTTCACAATACTTTTCAACTTTAGTCCTGAACACAAAAACATAACCTCAAATTGATCAAACCTAACCTCAAAGTAATACACTGACTCTTTTCTAAATCTATGTGTATAATTACTTGAAAACTATATTTTTGAGCTTATGTTTCCTAATTCTAAAGCCATGAAAACTTAACCTCAAACCTTTAAAAACCTAACCTCAGAACACAAGTTCAAATTCTAAAAACTTGAGTTGAAAATTCATATAATGTATGTTCTACACCAAAGCCTCTAACCTCTATTCTTAAACGTCTAACCTCAAATCCAAGAAATCTGAAAGTCAAACGAAGGATATTTTCCAAACCAAAGAATGTGACTTCTTGAAACTTCTATTCTGGAGCTAATATTTTGTACTTCTGAAGCCACAAACCTATGCTACGTCCATAAAAACCTAACCTCAAACCTGTGAAACGTATTCTCAAATCAAAAAGAATTAGGTGGATATTTAGATAGATACAATTTCACCCGAAAAATTATAAAAATTTCAACAATTTCAGCAAAAATCTATATTATTCCTCGAAATTATTCGATGGACTGAATTTCGTCTTTAAAAGGGTTGTTTTTCTGCTTTATATATGTATATTGTTAAGAAATTATTATTTTAATTATGGCTAAGTATTTGTTTATGAAAATATTAATTTTGCCAATTTTGTGTTATGTATTGTGTTTTGGGTTATTTTGTTTTTTTGTTTCTGTAATAAAATTTTTCTTTATTAATTTTTTATTTTTATTTTGATTAACTAGATTGTTCAATACAAACCTTTCTTTTGCTTTACCTTGTACTTTTTCTTTATCCCTTGCTAGCTGTTTAGTTTAGTTTAGTTTAGTTTAGTTTAGTTTATTGGTGCTAGGTATACAAAAGTATTTACACAAGTCAAAAAACAAAAAAACTCAGATGTTTGTTTTATTTTAGATCTCAGGAGTCGGTTCTATATATTTCATACACAAACTAGTTCAATCCAGCACGCCAGAATAAATAGAGTTTTTAACTTTTAATACAATATTTATTTAAATTTTTAATTGGATTTTTCAAAAACAAAACTTCAACTTGTTGACTTAAAATTGTGAATGGCTTCTCTAGATACTAAACTTTTTTGTTTTAACAATAATAAAGAATATTTTATTTTATTTTTATACCTTTTCTATTCTACTACAGTTTTATACAATACAACGACTGTGCTTTTCTTTTAAAAATTTTACTATATTTGTAATTAGTGTTATTTATTCTATTTTAATCACTTGTCCGTGTATTGTGTTTTGCCTACTTTCTTATTATTTACAAACTGAAATTCATCTTAAAATTAAAATGGCTGTCCCTTTTATAACTTTGTTTGAGCTCATCAAATTTTTGGAGTTTTTTAAAACTAGGATTAAATGCTTGTATTCAATTTTGTTTAGGTAAGTCCTTTTTCTAAGGTTTAATGCTTAGTAATGTATTATTTTTAGGTTATAGCTATAAGTTTTATTATAGTGCACTTTATTTTTCAATTTTAGGTACCTGTTATCTGCTACTTGCATCTTTCCTTGTTGGAAACTATGTAGATGTCCTGTATACCATGTATGGGGCCACTGGAAACTGCTGCTTTTCTGGTTACGGAATTTTTTTCTTCGACGGCAAATTTTCTTTCTCTGGATTTTGAGAACAAACAAATTTCTACCTTGCTGGTGAGTTTAATTTACTTTCTTGACCTTGACTGTATTTCTTGAACTTATTTAAAATTTATTGGAGCTGCTTCTCTCCTTTCTAGTTTTTACAAAACCCAAGCCGTAACTAATCAATAGACTTTTGTTTCTCTTTCTTTCTGGATTTTTCTGGTCTTAATTTTTCTTAAGGTCCCTTCACAGAAATTCCAGTCCTTGGATGTCCTTTTTTTAACAACACTTTTCAATGCACTTCTTGTAACTAATACATTTGTTACAATTGTCCTTTTATTTTAACATACAATTCTATTACTAATTATTAAAATATTCCTTATTTTATGTTCTTTTTCTAGGTCATCTCCAGGTACTTGTAAAGCCAACTTTAGTTTTGACAATTTATAAAAAATTTCATATATGACTTAAGTTCATTTAAGATATCTTCTATACAGTTACTCGTCTTCCCAAAATACCGGATTCATCTGTGGATATTGGGCTTTTATTTGATATACGTCACTCTAGGTTTAAATCCTGTTTTCTTACTGTACTGAGTGTTAACAAGTGTCGATGTCATGCGTTTTTTTTTAACAAATTTATTTTGTATTTGTGAATTAAATTAAAATTATCAATTTTATACTATGTGATATTTTTAATTGTTACTTATTTTATATTCAGAATCTTTATATTAACAATTGTGTATTATTTTATTGTTTGCTATATTAATAATTAATTTTTATTTATGATCCAAAGTTCGGTCAGGTAACTTTTCATTCGTGATTCTTTGTGTACATTTCCAATTCGTTGCAATATTTTATTTCGTTGTTTGTTTTAGTTTTTTCTTCTTGTAATTTTTATTGGATGTTACAAAAATAAATATCGAATTATTATCTTTGGTGTTGTGGCTAATGGGTTGTCACTCGATTTAAAAAAATAAGCATATTTGAAGTAAAATAAAAAAAAAGAAATTACCACAGTACGGTTAAAATAGCCAAGTGCGTAGATATTTTTCCCATAATCCCAACTGTGCGTCACGACTCGTTTACAATGAACAATGACAAACCGTTACGTCTACGCTCGAGATAATGCTATCGCTGATTGGTTGAATAGAATCTTCTGACAAAGTACACCAATCACAGCCAATGAAACAGAATATTGTGTTTTATTGATTGAATTTTACCGAAATAAAATTGCTGTTTAAAACAAAATTACTGATCACGTGGCTAGTAGTCATTTATGAACACTTTGTATTATTGAATATCAGATTTTCAAGTTCATAACTCAAAATAGAAAGACCCACAAATGATACGTAAAGCAGCTGTTGAAAATATATGAACCACATTTTTAATAGCACCCAGAAACAGAGCCTACTAGTTATTTCGACTACAAATACAGAGCGGTGTTAAAAATAAACACGTCCATGTTTCTGTATCGTCAGTAATTTTTTATTTTTAGCACCGAAAATGTAAATCTTAAGGTTCTTGTATTTTAAATGAAAAGGTACGTCAATCATTGTCAGACAAAGATACAAAACTACCTGTGATAACGTGTTGATTACTTTTATTTGTAGATATAAAAAAATAATTGAAATATGATGATGTTTGAATAAACAAAACATTAAGAATTTTATTTTTGAGCTTACTTTTGCTCTTCTATCTCCTGTTTTTCGAAGTACATACATTTTTTGCCAGAAATACGTCGCTCTCGAGTCGACGAGAACATCGAACGTCATGTTTATTACCGAAGGTTAAAAAATGGAATACCAACTTTTCAAATTGGACGGAGCTTTATCTCTGTTCGCAGAGCCCGATTTCCCGAGGCTGTAACAATATTTACAAACGATCGCGTCTCCGGAATCACCCAATAAAACAAGAAAAAAGGTAGCAAGAAATATTTACTCTTTCTATGATGTTTCTGTTTAGGCGATCCGACAGGGGTTTTTGGCGGTTTACACAGCAGGGAAGTTTCGCCGCTGGTCGCACTGGGACCCGAGATGCTTCTCGTCCTGGGCCTCAGAGTGGGAAGTTTGAACGAAGAGAACATTTTTCGCACCTACTCCACTAAATTCGCCACATTGTCTTATTTCAATCGACTCAATGAACGCCCTAAAATTAGAAACTTCCAAGACGCGCAGATAAAGTAGACTAATGTTATTATTAGCCGGCAACATAAACACTTTAAGATGAAATTCAAAGAGCGATGTTTATTATTCCACTGCACTGTCGTCCTGAAATAATCGGCCACGCGCGATGGAGCACTAATCACGTGTTTTCGCGGATAATCCGCGGAAAGAATTACCGTTGTTTGTGTTTTCGGCCATTGTTGCAACACTGGCGATTGTCTCGGGCGGTAGACGCGGTCGGTTGTAAGTCTCTCGGCTGGTTGTCGTTACTCTTGCCAGTCATAGCGAAAACTGTTTATTTTTAACTCTCTCTCGGTATAGACGCGCTGCGTCGGCTGCGGGAAAGATGCTATAGGTGTGCTGGCAGTCTAATATTACTTTTTTTTCGAGATCTTGTTGTACCTGATGTGTTTTCCTCAAGGAATACGTCTAATTCTGTTCGTCTGATAATTTGCCAAGCCCCGTAGTAGCGACTGTCAGCGACGTAGGAAGTCCTCCACTTGGACAAATAAACATATTCCATAACGCTAGGTCGCCTTATAACATTGCCCTGATGTTCCAGTAGGAAACTAGCATGAAATTTAAAAAAGCCCGTAAATAGCTTTTAAAGTGAATATTGCATATACAGGGTATTTCAATATTCTAGTACATGGTACTAAAATTACCTCTAAAACTAAAAATATTGTTTTAAAAAAAAATGTGAAACGCTTTGTAAGATTTTGTTGAAATCTGGTACGCTATTACTTCCATATACGGAGTGGAAAGTTTAACTGGAACAAATTCTGTAACTTAATAAATAAAGGTTTGTCGCAAAATAATTATAATTATAATTTCTAGAATATAATCTTACAAGTCGTTTCAAAATTATTTGAAAAGAAAAACGAAAAATTTGTGCCTCAAATTTGGTGTCACATAGCGACTAAACGAAGCTACTTGGGAAATTAAATCTGCTTATAGGCCAGGAACTATAGAGTTGGAGGCGACTTTTTGTTTCGGCAAGCTGAATTTATCACTATTGTAGTATAACAACCCCGGGTTCGATAAAAAAAAACGTACGTAGTTGTGGCCAGAAATATGTGATCGTCATAAGGTATACCTACGTTGTATACATCCATTTTTAATTGACCGGAAGGCGCTGGCTACTAACTTTAAAGAGGGGAAGTATGGTTTAAATTTATAAAAACAAAAGCAGAGTAAATACACCTAACTTTATTATTTACGTACAACAGTCTTCAAATTAAACATGTGACAAATAGAAAGAACAACAAAAACATTAACAACCATTTAACAAAAAATGAGAGTGCCAGGCTCACCTAGAGCTCCTGTGGGGAAAGAGCATGGCAGAGAAACCCAAGATCGTTGCTCTAACTACCCAAATATAAATACAAAACAACCGCTAACAAAAGGCATAAATTAAGATCCTTTGCTAATGATAAATAACATCCGCCTTATTTAACGTCTCACTCAATGTCACCTCACTCGAATTAGACATACACACTTCCAAGTAAAACTGAAGAGGTTTGGTGTTAGTTAGCCGGCAAGGCCGTAAGGTACTGGAGTCCGATACGGGAAGCAATCCAGCTATGAGTTGAGATTTCGGAAGATCTGTTTTAGCAATTCTTTTTTTGTATTTAATTATTATTTTTTTCAGATTCGTTCCTCACGGGCGAAAATGTTAGTAAATTCAACAAGACTCTTTTATGCGTATGACATAAAGTGAGTACAAGAAATGCTTTATTATTCGTTTTTCGAACAATGTAATCATGATAAAACAAGTTAAATGTGAAACAAAGGAGTTGTTATTGCAACATCCGGGCAGTCACGACAATATATACATATATTAACATGTAATAAATAATGAGCAATCTTTAATAATAATTGTAACAATTTTACGTTAGAAAAATATACTCCCCTGAGCATAAGACAATGAAGGCTAAACATATACAGAATTATTATCATCAAACGTCTATAATCATCACAATCAAAAGATTACATTGAAAAATTAACAACAAAGTACTTAGAGAATAATTACCTGCTAACTAATACCGGTTAAACACTTAATTTTTCACTACTTATATATTTTTACCGTGGACCGATCGTCTTACTTTTCACCCCGCGCTGTTCTCACTTCTACTATCTAGGCTTCCTTCCAGAATTCCTCACCTAAGCTTTTGTTTTTGCGCTTCCTTCTACCAACTGTCAGTATTACGTTTTCATTATTATACAACACCCACGTAACAGGTGAATTAAATTCAAACTTTCTCAAAGTATTTACCACTGTTCAGGCTAACTCAACGATGTCACTACAAAGTAACATTATTTTTCTGAAGCGGTATTGTTACAATTGTGCACCATATTGCCATCCACTACTACTTATGAGAGAGCTCGAGCTAGAGTGTCACATTAGCATCTATCAATCTTTCGCCACATTCTCGAGGGCTGATCATAATTTTAGATTTTTTTTGTATTTATGGGATGGGAGCCCTATCGGGAATGTCTGCACTTGACCTCTGAGCATAGAGAAAAACAAAATATTTTAAGTCGAATGCTTTCTACTATACCACATGTCCCATTTTAATCGATACACGTGAATATCTCGTCAATGAAGCCTCCGATCCAGAAATGACCCAAAAGTTGTTCAGTTCATTGGACAAAAGCGATTTCTGACCTTGAATTTGACTTTAACCGTGACCTTGAAGCTCAATTGAAGGTCAACTCCATAATTTTAAATGGAATCCTCTATTTTTTACCTCGGAAGGCAGAAAATTTGTGATCTTAACTTTGACCTTGCGGTAAAGCTCAAGGTCACAGCGAGTTCAAATTAATCGTCACCCCTGAAGCAAACTCGGAATAAGATGTTTGACCCCAAAATCGATAGGATTTTCATCAAAGTACTCGATCATGACGTTGGATTTGACCTTGACTTTGGTTTTCAAGGTCACTTGAAGGTCGACTACAGAAATCGGCACTGACGACCTCTACAAATGTTTTTAGGGATGTTCGGCACCATGGATTGATGATCTTGGATTTAATCTTGAAGGTCATTTGAATTGATTTTGTTTTTTTATATATCTGTACCAGTATTCCTGACGTTAGATCCTGGAAAAGTCGTAAATTCTACACCCGACTATCGTCAAATTAAAAGTTCATTTGAAGATCAAATGAAGAGCTAACAATGGATTTTTTTTTGTTTTGATGAGAGAAGAATTAGGTTAGAATATTTATCATTACGTCCCTGTATAGGTTTTGTCATTGCACTGGTCTGGTGCACTCGGCTTCTGCGAGGAGCACCGACATCTTCCGGCAGGAGAAATGCTAAACCGGCCCCGTAAATGAATTCCCGCTAAGTTCAAACTTAACGTTAAATAAACTCCCGTCTCTTGCGCTCAAACTATTCACTCGTAAAGTTAAAGTGGTTAGGCATTACTGTAAATTTAAGCATAAACGTACTCCCGGCATAAACTTTAAGTTCATAAAGTTTTATATCGCGCGCATATGAAATATTCTGAATTATTCAGAAATATTCTGACCGCCCTCGTCTACAATGTAGTCGTGGTCCCCGAACGTTTAGTTTTAGTGTACGTTATTGGCAGGGCACTTAAAACCTGAGTGCAGTTGTAAATTAAGTTTATGTGACAAATCGACAAGTGCATTGTAGCCCGATGGGAATTTAGGATGCAAATGGAAACTTGCCGAGTTTAAGGGTACGGATTAAGTGTCCCATATACGTGGCTTCAGTGGTTTTAATGTTCGCTTGAAATTGTACGAAATTGAAATATTAAATGAAAATCTTCATATCTCTGAAATAGATTTTGCAATTGTTTATATGGCTTGAATTTGATTTTAAAATAATTGTGAAAACCTCAGAGCAGTGATGGGCATTTCTTAGTCAAAGCCAAAGCTATTTTTAAAACTTCATGTGGTGGAATCAGAACATGAAATCCTAGCAACACATAAACCTTCCGATCCAATCAAGAAGCCGTCTCCAGCTATTCTAGACTAGGCGGTATCTGTTTTGGTTTGGGTGAAACGTATATCCACGGAGATTTTCGGCTTTTTGGCTTTCAAATATCACTAGAAATGAAAGTTTTTCTATGCGCATAAAAAAAACGTGGGCTTAACTTTTGGCGGCACAATATGTTAAAAAAATCGAAAAATGTCATATTTTTCTTCTTATTTAATTATGTATCTTTTCAAGAGTTGATTTTAGGCGAATTACATTTTTTACAAAATATGACTAGCTACAAATCGAATGAATCATGATTATTATTGTAAAAATCGAAAAAATCGACAAAAATGGGGTTAAAAAACATTACTTCTAAGGGATTTTTTTGGGGCCTTTGAATTGGTTATAGGACCTTCATACTTGGCTCAACAAAACTTCCTGTTGTGTAGAATCATAGCATCATAATAAAATCGGTTCGATTTTGCAATCCAGATTTTGAAAAAAATTTTCAAATTTTCAAAATTTTGCACAGCAGAAACCAAGGCCCTTAGATACTTGAAAACTTAATCATATATATTGAAATGAACACACTGTATCTCAAGACACAACACCGAGAAATAGCATAGAAAATTTTCATGAAATTATAATGTAGAATAAAATAAAGACATAAAGTACTTTTAAAGTAAAATAAAAAGCTCATTTCATAGTTATTTCATATAAACCTAAAACATTATCAGTCAAAATTTTAAATAATACGTTTTAATGATAAGCATGTCAAGAAAATAAATTTTGGGTACGAAGTAGAAGCATTAGAGTAAAAGAAAATGCCACAAGAAGTGCCAATTTAGAGATTTTATGAGTAAATTAATGTTAAATAATCTAGTACAAAAGAAAGTTCAAATATTATAACATCAGAAACACATAGGCTAGAAGTTTCTTATAAAAAAATTTGTCATGCAAAATATCATATAAAAATTTCTTGTAAATTAGTTTTAAGATGTATAAAAGCTACTACGCAGTTATAAAATATAAATTACGCCGTAAGTTAATTAAAATCAAATTAATCGCAATATGCTGGAGAAATTGCGCAGTTAGAAAATGATAACAGGGATACGAGCAACCAATGGCAATAGGCCAAATCAGTGAATTTACCTGGTACCGGAAAAACAAAAAAACATCGAGAGAAGTCAACAAGCTGAGAGGGTGGCGGAAGGATTCTAGAGACTGGTGAGGGGTGCATGTTGTCCTGTGGCTCCCCAAACAA